ATTAACAAAACTCTTGATTAGTTCTTGGAACTATCTCAATACTCCCACTGTCCTCTTGACATATAAGATTCTCTTTGTCAAGAACCGTACCATGACAAAACAAATATTCAAGAGTTAGTGCGGATCCTTATCAAGTTAAACACTTCTCACAATTGGTCTTAGTTGGTCTTTGTTTTATCCAAAACATCACAACTTACGAATATCAAATGTACAAGAATAGGAAACATCTTACTCTACATTTGACAAGTGTTATGAACTTTCTAATGATTAAGTCACCCACGGCTCATTCTTGGAGTATTACTTAAAGATTTGATTTTGGAACGAAGTACGATTTATCTTTTGATTTAACCATTTCAACACTTCATGATTCCCCTCCTTAGTCAAACAAATCCACTAAGGTGTCCTTAGAGGATCAATTCTGATATGGTTCCATAATCACAAAGATAATCATAAAACAAGATACTCAAGTACTCTCCCATCTCTTCAGATTGGAGAAACTTTTATCTTCCTGTGTTATTTGATTCTCACTAAAAGAAAAGACCCTTTAACGACGTGCAAACAACGACACTCACTGATTTATGTTACGCAAAAGGGAGTGACATTAAAAAAGTGTTGTCTCTTCAAAAAATTTAAGGATTTATGTCACGCATTATTGCGTGCCCTTAAATTAGTGTCTAAAAAAACACGGAGGGCACCTATAATAAAATGTGTGTCGTATAAAGACGTCGCTTTATAAATTTTAATGGAACCTGCATTCCATCCGGGGGGGAAATGAAGTCCTAAAAAATTAAAAATTCCGCATCTTTTTCTTATTTCCCTCTTACCCAAATTATCGACGCTCCTTCCTTTCCCTCTTGTCTCTCTCGGTCGCTACCTAGGGTTTTTATTGAAAGGTTGAATCGATTGACTGAGGTAACCAAAGGTCAAGCGAACCGGGAAAGGGTTTTCAGTGAAATCTACTGTTACTCTTTGAAATCGGATCCAATCCTACCTTTGCCCCATCCTTCTTGTCTCTATCAGTTGCTACCTAGGGTTTTTTCGTGAAACTTGAATTGATCGACTAGGGTAACTAAAGGGTAAGCGAACCAAGAACGGGAAGCAATAAATCCAACACGCACTCTCAAATAGATTCTACTGGATAAGGTTTCAATTTGGGGCTCTCTACATTCTTATCGATTCTACCTTCATTCAAGATTACATCGGCTTTTTTGGTATATAGTAACTGAAGCTTACAATCTCATCGATTCCACTTTCTCTCTCTGAACAAAAATATCTCATATTCTCTAAAAGCCCTAAACCAGCCACCGCCGACTATCACCTCCACTATCATTCATGTCATCTTACTTCCCAGATGGTCTGTATGTGTGCGCAACAAGACTGAACAGAAAATGGGAAAAAAAGAAAAAACGAGCAGAAAGAGAGAGAGAGAGAGAGAGAGAGAGAGAGAGAGAGAGAGAGAGAAGAGAGTTTAAGGCCGAGGAGAAGATGCATCAGAGTTGTGGTATTGTTCTTAATGTATTTTTAGAGTACAATAACCTTATTATGGGCTTGAACAAAAAGATGACCGTTTCCTCTGTTTTTCAGTTCTAGATGGTATGGGTTCACCCTGATATGATTTAGAGAAGTGTAAGTCATCTCTGAAGATCACAATCATTCATACCTTATTTTCAATCTCTCTCTCTCTCTCTCTCTCTAAACATTTTGTCACACCCCGAAAACCGAAGGCGGAAACATTTCCGGGGCGGACTCCACGTTGAGTATCAAATCCAATGCACATAGTAAGTAAAGTAAACAACCATTACATTACATATAGAAATTTACATTTGTTTCAAAAGTAAAGTTGTACAATTGTGATACATAGTATATATGAACAAAAGTAAGACGAGTCTTCTACGCACTTCGTCTTCGCCACAATGGATCATCAGGTACCTGTCTAACGTGGACCTGAGAATACAAGCAATTTAAAAATCAGTATAAAGCTGGTGAGTTCATAAGCGGTTTTGTTTTGTAAAAATGTACGAGTTTCCTTTCTGGTTTCTGAAAATGTTACGACCCAAGAAAATCCCATATTTTCTTAAAAGTAATGTTTGGTTAACTGTTAGGTTACACCGTTCTGGTTATGTTCAACTGTGATCCCAGGAAAATCCCATATTTTCCTAATGTGAAAGATGTATACTGAAAACCTGGTTATCCTTGTAAAGTATGTGTTAGTTCATCAATCCCCAAATGTAATGTAAATGATGTACACTGAAAATGTATTAGTTTTGACACGTTTATAAAACTAACATATACCAAGTAAACTAGTTACTTAACCCATTATTACTATTATGTAAATCTCTGTTATCCAAATTGTGAGTTCCATAACCATACTAAAGACTATTTATGGCAATAAGTAGTCCATTTCACCCTATGACTTTCGTCACCGTTGAACTTTTCGGTTCGACTGTAGCTAGCAGCCAGGTGTGGGGTAGTCAGCCCCATATAGATCTATACACTCAAGTCGCGCTCTCTATATAAGAGATTCTGGTTACGGGGGTAGTCCTCCACTCGCGTATCTCTGTGGAGTGTTCACCGAGGACGTGTCTCCAAGTATAGGATTAACAAATCTACTAGTAATAATACTGAAAGATCAAATGACTATCCTCCACTTGCGTATCTCTGTGAAGTGTTACCAAGGACAAAACCATGTTCAAAATGTTATGCTTTTAACCGTTATAATGTGGGAAAACATTTGTGAAAATATAGATACAACAATTTATAATGTATTTCACAAATAACATGCTAATGTGTTCTGTAGATTCAAACTGTTGTTTGTTACGACTGTCAGTCTTAAAAGCATATATAATATGAAACACAATGTATGTAAAACAAGTTTTGAGTACAAGTATCACTTGTACTTTGCTTGTATTCCCCCCTGAAAACAGTGAAAACATTGAAAATGGGTAGGGGTATGAACTCACCAGACGAGAAAACGCGATTGTTTGGATGCTAAACGTTGGTTCGGGGCTTGATGACACGCGAGGTTCCTATGTAATATGAAATGGTATCCAAAGGTATCTAATTAGACTTTAAAACACTAATTAGATATGATAATACACTCCAATGAGCGAAAACACTTCAAAACAAGTGTTTGGAGTGACCCGGGTGACATTTACGGACGTGTGGGACTTGGGAATTGAGTTTACTCTTCAAGAGTAAACTCCTTATGGAGTTTACGACCTTATACACCATACACACATCAGTTCACGGCCGTGAACTGATGTTTGGGGGTTTTATGGTGCTAGGTGGCTTGAATACACATGGGAAATGTTGGAATGGATTTATCTAAGGCCTTGGGATGGATTATATTCACTTAAGAACCATTTATGGAAGTTCACGGTAGTAAACATGGAGTTTACGGCCATAAACTCCCCCATGCTCAATCCTTAATTCATTTTGTGAGGCTAGGACAATCACATGTGATTCCATCTATTTTTCCAAGCCTTGGTATGAGTTTTGGGCACCATTTAACATGAAATAATGAGTTTACGGCCTTGGAACTATTTCTTGGGGAGCTATTGCTGTAAACTACTAAATGGGAGGATTTAATCATGTTTAAGGTCCCCAAACTAATTTGGTTGGTTCTAGGATTTATTCCAAGGCTAATGGTGTGTTTACATGGCTTTTTAACACTTGAAAATGAGTTTACTCCCCATGAATGAGGAGTTTACGGAACAAGGTTCTTCTTGGGCAATAAACTCATGTTTACTCCTCAAAAACCATCTTTAATGTGTTCTAAGTCCGAATTGGTAAACCATATAGTCGTATCTAAGTCCCAAAGTTGGTTTGGAGGGGTTTAAAGGCATAAAAACCCTTTTATTATGTGTTTACGGCCCAAGCATGATCCTTGGCCGTAAACACATGTTTGAGGTCCAAAATAAAAGTTTAAACACGAATTTGAAGGCCTAAGAGGTTAAACAACAAGTTAGGGATGTTACCTCAATGATTTGGAGCCTTAAATCAATGTTTTGGACCTTGAATCTTTGCTTGAGGAGAGAGAGGTTAGAGAGTAAAAGCTTCAAATGGAAGCTTAGACCTCTTTAAATAGTGTTCGGGATTTGGACACGGTGGAATTCTACCCGATACCGGTGTTATACGGTGCTTTTGGTCACACCCGATTGAGTTACCATAATCCGATATGGTCGATTCTACAATGTGTCCAATTATTAATATGAAGTATTAATGTGAGTTCTAAACATGTTTAGACAATCATTAAGTCATAATAGAAGTTCCACAATTATGACCTAATTAAATGACGTAACGGAAACGAATCGAAAACGACGATTATATTTACGAAAAGGGTTACAATTGATGAAACGAACTTCGGGTTGTCACACATTTCCTCTCTTCTTTCTTTCTAAAACCCTAGCCTATCATCATTGCAGAGGAATTTTCGTGCTATTTTCCACCATCTGTGTTGGACGAGACCAGTTTTCATTTGACCAAGCTTTGAATTGAAAAAAATAAAATTCGTTGGGCTGGTGGCTGACGGGTCACAAAAGCCAATCGGTTGGGGCTTGTACAACTCGTGCTCTATGTTCAGATCGAAAAGGGGTAGGTGTTTCCTTGAATATATATCCATCAATTTACAAAGAAGAAATGAATTGCTCGATTTATATTATTAATCACAAGTGTCATCACTGAATCTCTCAACATTGGATTTGATTAGAGTTGGTATAGCTTCTAGTAATGTGATAAGAGCATTAGAAGATAATTGGTTAGAAAATCATATTGTCTACTAAAACTTAAAAATATGATACGGTTCCTTCTTGATGTATGAGTTTCCTATTCTTTAATATTCTGATGCAGGTCACTTATATTGAGATCAGACCTTGGGGAGGTGTACAAACTAAATTATAGTTTGTGGGCTTCTCGATAATCCTGCATATTCAGCAGTTGAGTGGGCAAAGGATATCATGTATATTTTTATCTCATGAAATCCTAGAACTTTTTTTGCCCTGATGAAAATTACATTGTATCCTATAGATGTGGGGTATTTATCAATATCAGCAATCTGTACAGTGTTGAGCTTTATAGGCCTCCAATATTGGATAGAAGTTTCTTATGTGAAACTAAAGTCAGATGGTTTGATGGGTGAAAACCTTCTCCACCCTAGTGTTGCCAACCGTGTATTAGAACTGTTGTTGAGTTCTTATACGACAGTTGCATTAGTGGTCAATTTTGTCATCAACATTTTTGTACTCATCATCCTCTCTCTTAAGGTATTCAACTTTTCTAAATTTTTACAATGAGTCTTGATTCTTTTTGATGATATATTTGGTCATGCAGACAATATGTTTTGATGACCTGCATGCAACTGAATCACGGAAAATGGTGGAGAGACTAGTTAATTATGTTATCTACAAGGGAACCAATGGCCAAGGCTAAGAAGCTCTCATATAACCATCTTTTCTATCTTTCCATATCATATTTTTTATCTTTATTTCCATTGAAGTTTATATATATATATATATATATATATATATATATATATATATATATATATATATATATATATATATATATATATATATATATATATATATATATTTCGTTTGATTGATGATGTGGCACATCTTCAAAGATTAAGAATACTTGCATTTATGGTGGGGTTCCAAAGGGTCCTCAAATTTGTGATTTACAGAAAGGTAGGTAGTGATAAGCTCAGTCATATCAATCAATCTTCTAGGAATTGAAGGCATTGAAGGCTGAATTAAGGTCTGTATATATATCATCATTTTCTCATGGGTAATATTTTACTTGCAGTGTGTGATCGTTCACCTATCTTTAGGTGGGGAAGTGTTATGGGCTGGTCAACGTTGCAAATCTAGTCTTGGCTATGCTGCAAGATACAACATAGACAACATGGTAATTTTACTCTCACTTACATATGTTGTCTTTTTTATATAAATAAATATATAAAGAAAACTATTTCCATAATCTGTTGCAGGTTGCCTCTGGACAAATAACCAGCACTGAACTGTTGCTCTTAGCTATGTTCAGAAAGTGTTTGAAAAGGTAACAAACTCAAATTTTTCAGTAATTATATATGTTATGAGATTTAACTCAAAGTTATCAATAATTAATTGTGATTTTTGTCTCGTTTTGCATAGGTTTTTCTAGAAACTGATATGATGTACAATTAAGCTCTTTCAATATGTTGGGACACACAACACCTATCCATGCTGGATCCCTTCTATTTGTGGGCCCATTTCTTGATTACTGGTTAACAGAAAAGAGAGTTGACATGTTTAAATATGATCTTTCCTCTATGGTAAGTAAGAGTATAATTATACAACTATAAAGCAGTGATTGTTAACAGAATCATGGATTTATCTGTGTAGTGTTTTAAAGTCTCAAATCTTTGAGTTTCTAACAACTATCAAATAAACAATCATTTGCTATTCTTCATTGACTCTAAACAAAAGGGTAAACAAAAACAATACCCAAATCCCATATGAAACACGAGCCCTTAATGGAGGATAAAAGTAAGAATGTAAATACTATACAAAAAGCACATATAGATAAAAAAAAAAAGATACTAGGAGCCATACTATTCCACTACCCTGATTTTAAGCCTAAACAGAAAGGTAAAATGATAATATATTCACATTTACAGATTTCATTCGATTAAAAATGAAACAGATGATGTGTATACAACACTTGATGAAAAAAACATGCCATTAGTGATATACAACAAACACTTGTTATTATTGCATTTGTTGTTTAGGTACAACTTCAACAAAAGTTGGACACTACAAGAAACTTACACTTGAGGAAGCTGAAGAAAAGATAAAAAACAGAAGGAAAACTGCAGATGGTTATGAAATATGGATGATGAAAGCTGCAAACAACGGTGCAACTGCTTTTGGTGAAGTTGAAAGGCCTGATGATAAGGAAGGTGGTGGTGGTGGAGGTGGTGGCAGAGGGCGTAAAATGAATAATGCAGATGATGATGAAGGGAATGTTTCAGATAGAGGAGAAGAAAATGAGGATGAAGAGTTTGCAAGGAAAAATAGACTTGGACTTAATAAAAGAGGAGGTGATGATGATGAGGAAGGCCCTAGAGGTGGTCATCTTGATTTTGATGATGATGACATTGAGAAAGGTGATTGTTTTGTTATTTGGATAATGGAATGGAATGACACATTCCATTTATTACTTGAATTTGAATTTTTCATGAGAAATGAAAATAGGTTGTTTGTTTATTTGTTATTATATGTGAGATTTCAGGTGATGACTGGGAGCATGAGGAGATTTTCACAGATGATGATGAAGCAGTTGGTAATGATCCTGAAGAGCGTGAAGACTTATTAGCCCCTGAAATCCTTACTCATCCTGAAATCAAATAGGTTCACTTTAAAAAAAAACAGATAAAATTAAAATATTGTTTTTTAAAACATTAAATAGTATACATAATATATATCGAGGATGAAGATGATGAGGAAGAGAATGAAGAACAGGAAGGAGGATTGAGCCAATCTGGGAAGGAGTTAAAGAAGCTACTTGGGAAAAACAATGGTGTCAATTATTCAAAACCAGAACAAGATGATGATGATGACGATGATGATGATGTCAGCATCTTTCTTCATTTATTAATAATAGCATATAGAGTAAATTACATTTTTAGTCCTTGAGTATAGCTGATTTTTACAATTTTGTTCCCAGAAATTTTCATTTTACTTGGAATTGGAATAAGTAACATTGCAAGCATCTCAAATGAGGACCATTTTCACAAGAGAAAACATTTTGGGAGGAAAATAGCAAAAAAGCTACATTTCAAGGACCAAATTGTAATTGACTCTAAAATATATTTGGAAAACATTTGATTTTAATTTTTGTTAGGGCTATGCAGTTACATCAATACAAGTAATCAATTTATCTTTTTCTCAGATTTTTCTTCATTTGAGATTATTTCATATCCATTTCAGGAAATTGCTAGACAATTATGTATAGAGCACGAACTGATGTTTTCCAAAATGGCACAACACTCCCTGGTTCATCTATGAATAAAATTTTAACAGTAAGTTTTTTTTTTTTTTTTTTTTGTTATTTTAACAGTAAGTTTTTTTTTTTTTTTTGTTATTTCAGGAAATTTCTAGACAATTATTTCATCAGACTTCTCTAAAACTCAACTTCTTGTCTGATGTCCCAGTTTATTGGTTGGAATCCAAATGTCTACTCAAATTTTAACAATAAGTTTTTTTTTTGTTTTTTTTTGTAAGTTACTTTTACTAATAACAATAGATAATCACTTTTCTCTTCATGGGATTTTAAGTTATTATACATACAAGAAGGCCCTGTCATAAAGGAATGGTATACAACCTCTATGTAATTCTCTAGTTTCTGCTTACTGTGAAGCTGTTGCTATATTGCGAAGTCGTCCTTTTAGTGATGAAATGATAAGATTCGTTACAGATCTGATCTCAATAGAGGAAATTTTGTACCTTTCTATGGTTCTTAATATCACGTGCTGTTACTTGTTAAACTATAGCTGCTTGCTAGTTATTGGTGAATTTTTGGCCTCACTAAGTTGGCAAACTGTAGTCGATTGCTACTTAATCATTGTGAATTTTTGGCTGAACTACTTAAGATCTTTCAAGAAATAGATTGTACAGATAAAGATTCCCTCTGTACCTCATGCACAAAGGTTATTTATAACTCTTATTATTTCATTTCTATCTTATTCTTCTAGTAAGCCATTAATTCCAATGCAGTCGACTGTTTTTTAGAATCTTTATGATTTGTATTTAGTTTAATCTTCTATCCAAACCAAATTATCCTTGAAAGGACTTATTAATGATCATCACTTATGGCATCCTGTGAAATTGTTCATAATTGGGTTGTTAATGTTCCTGTTTGTTTTCATTTTTGCAGGTAACAATCTTGTTGAATTAGAGGTGAAGAACACATGGCTTTCTGTGGACCATATGAATCAGATGTTAATGGTAACAAGTTTAACACTCGAGTCTATATGATCAGATGTTAATTGTAACAAGTTTAACACATGTGTCTTTGTTATACATACAGATTAGGAAGATAGATCCGACATTGGACATGGAGGCTGATGAAGGAGACAATTACACACATATTCCAGTAAGAAACATAGTTGGATGATTATTTGTTAGTTTTAGAGGAATGTATAACCCATGTTCGCAATGTATTATTTTTGTTTAACATTTGAATGATTCTTTGTATGACATATTATAATTTGTGCAATTTATTTTATTTTATGAGTATGAAATTTTATTTTATATTATGCAATGGATTGTATTTTTGTATATGGTATTTTATTTCTATTATGAAAAATTAATAAATATATAAATATATTTTTTTAAACATTTAAATTTACAATACGCAAAAATGTGTGTCATCTTCGTTTATGACATGGCCTTTCTTGACAGGTGTTTTAATGATACGCATTGCGTGTCATAAATGCGTGTTGTAAATGCGCGTCGTCTATAGAGGACGCGCAAAAGCGCATTGTCTCTCGTTATGACATGGCCTTCCTTGACGCACATTTGCGAGTCGTCTGAGCATTTTATGATGCGCAATGAGCGTCGTGAAAGGCTGTTTTTCTAGTAGTGTCTTCTTATCCGTTCTGTCATACATTGAAACCTTTCTAATGTTTCAGAATTACACTTAAACTATTAAGCAGAACCATATTTACTAAACTTTAGTAAATCATGATGAATAGTCTTTGTGGTGGACTTGATTAGTGCACACCCAGGTGTACCCGATCCCTTCGTCCTTCACTTAACTCACATATACATGTGAACAATGAATTAGTTTTAATTTCCCAAAGCTGAAAAATTCTCATTCATCATACAATACAAGTTACATGATTCCAAGTTTCTATCCAACTGAACCTTGGGTGATGAGAATCTTTCCTTATTTGGTAAATTATGACAATACCACAAATGAAAGAATCAAATCCATTTACCAATATTGCTTATCAATGGGAACATATAAACAACAATTTTTTTCATCACAAATGCCATTGTAAGGATACTTAAAATAAATAAAATCAAAACCATTTTTCTTTATTTTAAAACTTTTCGGAAAAACTTATCCTTACAATGCAAATTCATATGAAAACTTGTCGTTATCTATTCCTAGCAATATTTCATAACTCTTATGCAGCGACTCAAAATTCTGGTCATCGAACCATGCGATCAAAATCAGCACACCTTTTCTTTAAGCTTCCTTTGATTCTTCAAAAACATCAAAATGTAATTACATTACATTATGTATTAAGAATCTCCAAAAGAGACTTAATAGAGTTAGATAACGGACTTTATCTAAAGTAAAGTCAAACTTTTGACTCTACCATCCTTATGAGGATTCACGTAAATCTAGCAGCTTCGTAACCAATGCCCCTCCTATTGGTACAAGGAAACATATGGAATATTTGGAAATGATATACGATACTATCACAGACTTAGCCTTTCTCTTTACCATTAGGTCAAACGGCTTGACCATGGCTGGTCCCTTTCAATTGGGAAGAGAAAGTTTTTCTGGATTTCCAGTGTCACCATTGTCGATGTCCATGAAGTTTTGGGAAGTTGATCTTCTAACCAAATTTTCTTTACCAGTGTTCCAAACCATTGTTGATTCAACAACACCAAGCAAATAGATAAGATCATTAAAGGGTCATGTCGTGATATGTCATCAGGGAGTGACTGAAGGACCAAGTCAACAGCCAGCTACCTCGAGACTTCGACACTCGACTCTCCTGGCTTGTCAATATGTGACTTAATTTCCAAGATTTAAGCACATATATACTTTGATTACCAATAGGGATTGAGTGACTTAGAACTATTCAAGTCTTCAAACTTGTGGGATAGGGAGAATTATTGAAGGAGGTGGAGGAAATGAAGGATGATTTCCAATCCCATTAGTGCTCAATAAAGGGATTAATCTTTCACTGTGATTGCCTTTTGGGATATCATCTTCATTAGGAAGCGTGTTCCTAAAGATTTGGGAAGACCATAGTTGTTTAAACTACACATCTATACGGGAGAAATTCAAGTTAATTGATTTAAAGTCCTTAGTATAACACCCAATATGAAATATTAAGGCTAGGACCCAACAAACTATTTTATAACTTGGAAGAGGGATGC